ATTATTTTAGTAACAGTTTTACCCTGGTTACCTCTAAAGTGAATAAACTGTGTCCTGCCTGACTGTAAGGAAAAGTGTGGTGTGAATCATGGATGATTTTGAAGACTTTGAAATAACAAATGATGAATTGACGCGGATTGAAGAAATAGAAATTTCCTTGCTGACACTGGTACAGCGTTTAATGTTTGTCAACGGCAGAAAGCCATTTCAATGATTGACGCAAGCAGTGCACTTTGAATCCTGAAGCAGAATATTATTGTCAGGAGCCTTTGGATGAAGTAGATGACCTTCGCGTTTAGATGCCTAAAATATTATCTAAACTCTAATAGGCAAGAATATAAAGTCAATATCTTTCGTAAAAGTATTTGCATCCGATAAAGAAATTGACTATGTAAGAATAGTCAATTTCTTTATCGGATTAAGTAATCTTGATTGATCTTAGTAAACTTTGTTAAAACAGTAACAAATGTTATGATTTTTCTTAGTCGACAACCCTATTATAATGTTACATGAATTGGAAACAAAGGTGACAACAAACAATCTTTACGCCGCTTGGTATCAAAGCCGGAAATGTGTATTTAACTTGGGATCAAATCCGGTCATTTTAATTTGTTGGTATCAAAGCTGCGCGCGGCCGCGCTATTAACACGAACTAATAATCTTTCGCAAGCAAGGTCACGCGCATTGTCGAGTTAGTAATCGCAAGCAAGGTCACACGCATTATTTATTTTTCATAATACATATTTTGGATTATTTTAGTAACAGTTTTACCCTGGTTACCTCTAAAGTGAATAAACTGTGTCCTGCCTGACTGTAAGGAAAAGTGTGGTTTGAATCATGGATGATTTTGAAGACTTTGAAATAACAAATGATGATTTGACGCGGATTGAAGAAATAGAAATTTCCTTGCTGACACTGGTACAGCGTTTAATGTTTGTCAACGGCAGAAAACCATTTCAATGATTGACGCAAAACCCTTACCCAAATTTGTAGCCGTAAATAAAAAGAAACTGAAAGATGTCAATATATAAAGATTTGCTTCCCAAGAAGCACTTCAGTGCACTTTGAATCCTGAAGCAGAATATTATTGTCAAAAGCCTTTGGATGAAGTAGATGACCTTCGAGTTTAGATCAAAGCTGCGCGCGGCCGCGCTATTGACACGAACTAATAATCTTTCGCAAGCAAGGTCACGCGCATTGTCGAGTTAGTAATCGTAAGCAAGGTCACACGCATTATTTATTTTTCATAATACATATTTTGGATTATTTTAGTAACAGTTTTACCCTGGTTACCTCTAAAGTGAATAAACTGTGTCCTGCCTGACTGTAAGGAAAAGTGTGGTTTGAATCATGGATGATTTTGAAGACTTTGAAATAACAAATGATGATTTGACGCGGATTGAAGAAATAGAAATTTCCTTGCTGCCACTGGTACAGCGTTTAATGTTTGTCAACGGCAGAAAGCCATTTCAATGATTGACGCAAGCAGTGCACTTTGAATCCTGAAGCAGAATATTATTGTCAGGAGCCTTTGGATGAAGTAGATGACCTTCGCGTTTAGATGCCTAAAATATTATCTAACCTCTAATAGGCAAGAATATAAAGTCAATATCTTTCGTAAAAGTATTTGCATCCGATAAAGAAATTGACTATGTAAGTATAGTCAATTTCTTTATCGGATTAAGTAATCTTGATTGATCTTAGTAAACTTTGTTAAAACAGTAACCAATGTTATGATTTTGCTTAGTCGACAACCCTATTATAATGTTACATGAATTGGAAACAAAGGTGACAACAAAGAATCTTTACGCCGCTTGGTATCAAAGCCGGAAGTGTGTATTTAACTTGGGATCAAATCCGGTCATTTTAATTTGTTGGTATCAAAGCTGCGCGCGGCCGCGCTATTGACACGAACTAATAATCTTTCGCAAGCAAGGTCACGCGCATTGTCGAGTTAGTAATCGCAAGCAAGGTCACACGCATTATTTATTTTTCATAATACATATTATGGATTATTTTAGTAACAGTTTTACCCTGGTTACCTCTAAAGTGAATAAACTGTGTCCTGCCTGACTGTAAGGAAAAGTGTGGTGTGAATCATGGATGATTTTGAAGACTTTGAAATAACAAATGATGATTTGACGCGGATTACTAACAGTGGTAGAGCCACGCGGCAGCTTTTGCTGTCGCACGGATGGGCCGGCTCGAACCGGGGTAGTACCACGACCTCACAGAAAACCAGCGTGAAGTAGAGGTTTACCTCTGCGTTTCGCTTGGTGAGTGCAGGTGGCCGGAGGCCCTTTTTACTGGAAATGAGGCATTCCATCTTAGTCCTCACGGGTGACAGCGCATCTGCATTTTGATTTGTAACAGAGGATAGATGTAGATGTCTATGGGCCGCAGCAACCACTTACCATCAGGTGGACTGTGTGCTCGTTTGTCACCCTTATCCTATAAAAAAAAATTGAAGAAATAGAAATTTCCTTGCTGACACTGGTACAGCGTTTAGTGTTTGTCAACGGCAGAAAACCATTTCAATGATTGGTCATTTTAATTTGTTGGTATCAAAGCTGTGCGCGGCCGCGCTATTGACACGAATTAGTAATCTTTCGCAAGCAAGGTCACGCGCATTGTCGAGTTAGTAATCGCCAGCAAGGTCACACGCATTTTTTATTTTTCATAATACATATTTTGGATTATTTTAGTAACAGTTTTACCCTGGTTACCTCTAAAGTGAATAAACTGTGTCCTGCCTGACTGTAAGGAAAAGTGTGGTTTGAATCATATGATTTTGAAGACTTTAAAATAACAAATGATGATTTGACGCTGATTACTAACAGTGGTAGAGCCACGCGGCAGCTTTTGCTGTCGCACGGATGGGCCGGCTCGAACCGGGGTAGTACCACGACCTCACAGAAAACCAGCGTGAAGTAGAGGTTTACCTCTGCGTTTCGCTTGGTGAGTGCAGGTGGCCGGAGGCCCTTTTTACTGGAAATGAGGCATTCCATCTTAGTCCTCACGGGTGACAGCGCATCTGCATTTTGATTTGTAACAGAGGATAGATGTAGATGTCTATGGGCCGCAGCAACCACTTACCATCAGGTGGACTGTGTGCTCGTTTGTCACCCTTATCCTATAAAAAAAAATTGAAGAAATAGAAATTTCCTTGCTGACACTGGTACAGCGTTTAGTGTTTGTCAACGGCAGAAAACCATTTCAATGATTGGTCATTTTAATTTGTTGGTATCAAAGCTGCGCGCGGCCGCGCTATTGACACGAATTAGTAATCTTTCGCAAGCAAGGTCACGCGCATTGTCGAGTTAGTAATCGCCAGCAAGGTCACATGCATTATTTATTTTTCATAATACATATTTTGGATTATTTTAGTAACAGTTTTACCCTGGTTACCTCTAAAGTGAATAAACTGTGTCCTGCCTGACTGTAAGGAAAAGTGTGGTTTGAATCATATGATTTTGAAGACTTTAAAATAACAAATGATGATTTGACGCGGATTACTAACAGTGGTAGAGCCACGCGGCAGCTTTTGCTGTCGCACGGATGGGCCGCCTCGAACCGGGGTAGTACCACGACCTCACAGAAAACCAGCGTGAAGTAGAGGTTTACCTCTGCGTTTCGCTTGGTGAGTGCAGGTGGCCGGAGGCCCTTTTTACTGGAAATGAGGCATTCCATCTTAGTCCTCACGGGTGACAGCGCATCTGCATTTTGATTTGTAACAGAGGATAGATGTAGATGTCTATGGGCCGCAGCAACCACTTACCATCAGGTGGACTGTGTGCTCGTTTGTCACCCTTATCCTATAAAAAAAAATTGAAGAAATAGAAATTTCTTTGCTGACACTGGTACAGCGTTTAGTGTTTGTCAACGGCAGAAAACCATTTCAATGATTGACCCAAACCCTTACCCAAATTTGTAGCCGTAAATAAAAAGAAACTGAAAGATGTCAATATTTAAAGATTTGCTTCCCAAGAGGCACTTCAGTGCACTTTGAAACTTGAAACAGAATATTATTGTCAGGAGCCTTTGGATGAAGTAGATGACCTTCGCGTTTAGATGCCTAAAATATTATCTAACCTCTAATAGGCAAGAATATAAAGTCAATATCTTTCGTAAAAGTATTTGCATCGGATAAAGAAATTGACTATGTAAGTATAGTCAATTTCTTTATCGGATTAAGTAATCTTGATTGATCTTAGTAAACTTTGTTAAAACAGTAACAAATGTTATGATTTTGCTTAGTTGACAACCCTATTATAATGTTACATGAATTGGAAACAAAGGTGACAACAAACAATCTTTACGCCGCTTGGTATCAAAGCCGGAAATGTGTATTTAACTTGGGATCAAATCCGGTCATTTTAATTTATTGGTATCAAAGCTGCGCGCGGCCGCGCTATTGACACGAACTAGTAATCTTTCGCAAGCAAGGTCACGCGCATTGTCGAGTTAGTAATCGCCAGCAAGGTCACACGCATTATTTATTTTACATAATACATATTTTGGATTATTTTAGTAACAGTTTTACCCTGGTTACCTCTAAAGTGAATAAACTGTGTCCTGCCTGACTGTAAGGAAAAGTGTGGTGTGAATCATGGATGATTTTGAAGACTTTGAAATAACAAATGATGATTTGACGCGGATTGAAGAAATAGAAATTTCCTTGCTCAATAGTAGCTTTCACCTAAGTTCGAAGTCTGAGGAAGAGTATGACTTACAACCACTTTTACGAAAGCGACGTCGACGAGTTCTGTCCATTAGTGACACGAGTGACATTGAGCTTGAAAATGCTGAGCCAAATACTTCTGGTCACACCGCGTCGCTCCCTGTATCATCTACTGTGTGGCACCAACCAAAAGGTAATCAGCGTCGGATTATCCCCTACACTGAATTCCCAGGATTAGATCCACGAGTTGTAAGGTTAAATGATCGATAAGACCCCGGCAGATTTCTATCATTTTTTAGTACCAGACGAAGTGTCTCAAATGGTGGCCGATTATACGAATAGCTTTGCTATCAAAAAAGTCACAGAGTCGGACGCAGCATCTAAAGCTGCACGGATTCGCCAGTGGAAACCTACATCCGCAGCAGAGATGAAACGATTTTTCGGCTTGATTATTTTCATGGGGTTCGTAAAATTACCCAAAATATCCTACTACTGGTCAAAAGATGCTGTACTTGGACAGAATTTTCCTCGAACAATAATGAGTCGAAACCGATTTGAGCTGATGTTGCAAATGCTGCACTTTTCTCAGCAAGACGAAGACAATAAATCTAATAGATTACACAGGATTGAGAAATTGCTCGAAGATATGAACAGGAACTTCCAAAAAAACTACACCCCTTCCGAAGAGATCTGCATAGATGAATGCGTGGTGCCTTTTCGCGGACGAATAACTTTTCGACAATACAATAAACAATAAAGGCATAAATATGGTATAAAGGAGTTTAAGTTATGTACCATTCCCGGATATGCATATAAAATAAATGTATACGCTGGAAAGAATAACGATGAAGTCTATACTACACCGTTGAACGTCGTTATATCTCTATGCAGCGATCTTCTATACAAAGGACATACGCTAGTGACCGACAACTGGTACACCAGTATAGATCTTGCCAAAAAACTTCTGGATGCAGAGACTCATCTCGTAGGCACGATTCGGAAGAACCGGAAGCATCTGCCAAAGGATGTAGTAAATGCTAAACTGAAGCGAGGACAATTCGTGGAGAAGGAAAGCGATGAGGGCATAACTGTAATGAAGTGGAAGGATAAAAGAGACGTCCTTTTGCTGTCCACAAAACACTCAGTGCGATTCCAAAATGTCCGAAAACGTAACAAAGTTATTCCTAAACTGAAAATAGTCATTGACTATAACGGTGCTAAAGGAGCTGTAGATATGTCCGATCAGATGGCTGCTTACTCAACTCCATTGAGGAAATCTATAAAATGGTACAAGAAGTGTGCAATCAACCTTCTCCTGAACACAGCAGTGGTCAATGCACTGGTTTTGTATCAAAGCGTCATTGGAAAGAAAATACAAATGGCATACTTCCGGCTGGAATTACTTAAGTCGTTTTGCAGCCAACAAGATGTTCCAATTGCAAGACCTAGAAGAATGACACACAAACTGCAACAAAAATAAGGGCAATCCAGGACAAGCAGGCGAGCATGTGTGAATTATTACAAAATTAACGCAGCTACTTACTGCAGAAAGTTGGCTAAAAACAAGACTAAAAAGGTGAGAATGTTTTGTCCGCAATGCCCGGAGAAGCCTTTTCTTTGCATATCTTGCTTCAATGTGCTTCATCATTGACCAATTTTTTACCCGACTGCGCGACGAAGAGTGGAAATGTATTTATTTATTTTGTTGTTAAGACTGATTTCATTTATTCGCCAAATATTCATGACAAAGTTTAATTTCGTAGTAATTTTTTGAGTTATTTTAAATTTTTTTTTGAAGTTTGTTTAGAGTATTTTTTACTAAGTTTAAAAATAAGTGATTGCCTAACGTATAATAACACGTTTTTAAATATTTTCTAATAAAATAAAACATATATTTCGTAAACCTTCTTTTATTTTAAAACCACACTGGTACCAGCGTAAAATAGTAGCTTAATGCAGCTGTGTTTCGTATGGTGAGTGTAGAGAACCGGAGACCCTTTTTACTGGAAAAAAGGCATTCTATCTTAGTCCTCACGGCTGACAACGCATCTGCATTTCAATTCGCAAAAGAAGATAGATGTAGATGTCTATGGGCCACAGCAACCACTTACCATCAGGTGGACTGTGTGCTCGTTTGTCACCCTTATTCTACGGTATTCTGTGAGAGCGTGGTCCTTCCCCGGTCGAGCCGACCCATTCGTGCTACAACTATACTATTAATATAGCTGCAGCATGGCTCTACCACGTAAATAAATGTTTATTTTAAATGTTGATTCATCACAGAAAATAGTTGATACAGCCAAATACCTACAATCGCGCGGAACCTCAGGTTACATGCGCAGTCAGAGCTAGCACGTTTTAGGCGAGCGACGTACAAAAGAATTTCATAGTTTTTAACACTGTAAATAGATTTTTTTTTTTGTTAAATACTTGTATAAATATTTTTGTTTATTGTTGAGTATATTTAGTTATAAGATGAAATAGTAGTATAAGTTTACATAGAAAGTTAGAAAATACATTCATTACGTAACAATTTTGAAAAAATAAAAATGAAAGTCAGTAAATAATTTACTGAAATTATTATCACACTATTCACTTAAATTATACGTTATTTTAGAGACTAAAAAATATGATATTTTATTAAAATAAAACAATTGTAAATTAAAGAAATAATCAAAGGGTACTTACTATACACATATTTTAAACTCTTTGTTGAAATCTCTATGATAACGAAGGAATATCATACGTGACGTAGGAAGAGAAAACGATGCAAAACCATACGGACGTTGGCGCGCAGCGATAAAGTTGAATTTAGCTTGCGCACTTGATTTATCTAATTCATGATATTAATAATGTTACGGAGATTCTACCCCTTACATCATGATACCCAGGTAATGCTGTTGGTTTGCATACTTCATCATTTTTTTTATAGTATAAGGGTGACAAACGAGCACACAGTCCACCTGATGGTAAGTGGTTGCTGCGGCCCATAGACATCTACATCTATCCTCTATTACAAATCAAAATGTAGATGCGTTGTCACCCGTGAGGACTAAGATGGAATGCCTCATTTCCAGTAAAAAGGGCCTCCGGCCACCTGCACTCACCAAGCGAAACGCAGAGGTAAACCTCTACTTCACGCTGGTTTTATGTGAGGTCGTGGTACTACCCCGGTTCGAGCCGGCCCATCCGTGCGACAGCAAAAGCTGACGCGTGGCTCTACCACTGTTAGTATCATTCATCATTTATTAGTACATATACATTTATCAGTGTTTTAAATCATAAATTTGTTACCAAGTAATATTATTTTGTTTAAATAATTTTGAGGGTAATTATTAATAATATGTTATTGTTATTAATTTTACCAACGTTGAGAAGTAATACAGACACTTAGCAGGGGTTCGTTTACCTTTTCTATATTGAAAATCTTATTAAAAAGGCCGGGGTCCCACAGGGCTCCGTCCTATCACCACTCTTTTTCACACTCTACACGAATGACATCCTGAACGACCCAGAAGTTAAAAACGTGTCTCGGCAAACAGGTTTTCAGATATATGTTCAATGTAAAAATATATTTTTTCCGTTGTAATAAAATCTATAGATATTGGCTAAGAACTTGTTTCAAACAAGCCGATTTGGGTCTTGTCGAAGACTTACCGGTCAAAAGCGGCAATAAGACGCAATGCAGTCTGCATTGGGTCTTATTACTTATAGCCGTCATATTTACAACATGTACGAAATAAAAGTTAAATTATATTTTGTTCCTATTGATTGCTTTTGTTCAAAAACACACATTCAAGTATACAAGATAATAAATTATACATTATTATTAAATAACAGTGGACACAAAATTGTGCAATAAACTTGTGACGTATAGAAATACTAAAACGAATTAAAATATATTATTAAAAAGAAAAAATTGGGGACTGTGTGTGAAACAAGGCCATGTGTTTTACGTGAACAGGTGTACGGAACGAAACGACCTCAAAATGGCGGCGCATCTCCTCCGCCGCGCGCTATACCTCACAGTCGTCATTCAATGTAACGAATTCTTTGATCCTTTAGCTATCTAATGGTGTAATTAAATTATGGATGTAGATTTATTTATTTATTTAGAAAACCAACAGCTCTTATGAATATACAATGTTAATAATTTATAAATGAGACCCTTATTCTATAAAAAAAATTCGGAAAGTCCGAGTTGCATCACCAAGTCGAAAAGCATTATTTTACTTAGGCTAGGGGGTTATAGCTTAAAAAACTATCGCCTCTTCATTCCGTGGATGTCTTAAGAAGCCGCTAAGGAATATTCCACTACCCCATATATCCACTACCCCATTTCATCCCGCGGGTGTCGTAAGAGGCGACAGAGGGAAACAAATCAGGAGATGGGCAGCAGCGTCTTCTTAATATTTATATATTAAAATTACGTGTCACATTGTTTGTCCGCGATGAACTCCTAAACTACTGAACTGGTTGCAATGAAATTTTGCACACTCTGTGCAGTTTGGTTCAACTTGAGAGATAGGATAGTTTTTATCCCTATAAGTGACCCTCAATATATTTTATTAAGAATTTTTATAGGACACAGGGTCGTCGGAGAGGGCAGAACGTCTGCCTGACCAGCTAGTAACGTATAAAAATTAAAAACTGCCAACCCGCTTGCCAAACGTGACATATCATCCCTATGCAGTCATGACGGTCAGCAGGGTAAAAGATGCTCGCGTCAGTTACCACGATCGTTAATCCAACCAAGCGTGACTCAGGGTTTAAACTCTCGCCCCGCGCCTCGCCTCGTACTTCGCCTCACAGCTCGCGTGTTGTTGCGCTAGGTAACGAGTGCCTGTTTACACTCTCGCGACGCGTTCAGCTTCAGTTTGCGTTGAGCCAGCAACGATGGAAGACGTCGAAACAATTGCGGCATCAACTCTTGCCTTAATAAGTATTTATTGACCATTTTTAATTGAAGTCGATCGTAAACTCAACAAAACATAACCACCTGCGCGTTAGGGCGCCGTAAACCAACTGAAATGAGAGCGCGAGTGTAAACAGCACGCTCGCGTCGTTTGCGAGACTCGTGCGCAAAAAACCGCTTCCGACACGAGCTAGCGTTTACACTCGCATCTCGTGGCTCACGTAAACGACCTATCACGATTAAGGGAACTCCGTCCTTTAACGGAAGAAGCTCATATCCAGCAATGGACTTCCACTGTAAGTTAGATGATTTTTTTATAGGAGAGGGGGCAAACGAGCACGCGGCTCACCTGATGGTAAGTTACTACCGCCGCCCATGAACAACTGCAACACCAGGGGAATTGCAGGTGTGATTGCAGCCTTTTGAAAAGGTGTAAGCTCGTTTCTTGAATGTTCCAAGTCGTATTGGTTTCAATAACTCTTTTACTGTTTTAACCGACTTAAAAAAAGGTTCGAATGATTTTTTATGTGTGTTACCTAAGAACTTTTTTCTAGGTACTTTCTTTATTTGAAAGCTGGTGCTTCTCATGTGGTCCCAAATAAATTTGATGAAGATCTGACCAGTAGTTTTCGAGTTATCCTTAATAATCCGTTTTTCATTGACTTCGACTACATTGATGATGTTCTCATTTTATTTACATATATATTGAAATCGGTTGTACAAAATTATTTAATTTTTATTCTCCATTATTGATGCAATGTTTTAGTATTTAGAGATGTCACAAGTTTGCAAGAAAGTTGCCGTTTGTACGTGGATATGAATCAATAGTATAACACAAAAATAAATTTAAAACTTCTTAAATTTAAACTTTTTAAAATTCAGTTAAAAATGATTCATCTACATCATGTGTAATATTTGCTAAAACACTTAACCTAATTCTCTATTCCCTGCTCAGTGTTATTCATAACTCATGTATTAGTTGTGTTTTATTTTCAGCCACATTGTTATCTAATAACCGCCAACTCCTTTCTCACCGAGAAGCCTCAAGACAAGATGTGACATACCAAAGACCGGACATTGGCTGAATTATTGTGACCTAAAACAATACCTCGAAACGAGGATATCCACAGTAGAACCAGAGTGACCGACATAGCCCAACGGATTAGTATGCTGAAGTGGCAGTGGGCCGGCCATATAGCTCGAAGAACCGACAACCGATGGGTAGAAAGGTTCTCGAGTGATGAAATGGTAAGACATGCAGGAAGTCGATGGGTGCAGGTGGCTCAGGACCGTGCTTTGTGGCATTCCTTGGGGGAGGCCTATTTTCAGCAGTGGACTTGGGAAAGGCTGTAATGATGATGATGAACTACAATACGAAGGGCTATATTGAAAAAAAAATCCAAACATGACGACACTTGTATATGCAATTCACGACAGCCTATATATGAAATTGACAACAACCTATATATAAAATTGACAACAACCTATATATAAAATTGACAACAGCCAGTAAATAAGTAAATAAATTCAACGACAATGTGTAATATGTACCCCACATAGCTGGTGACTGCTATAGTATCGAATCCACGTACAAACCGCCAATAGGTGAAGAGTGAAAGAGACCTACCTTTTTTCTCAGCTGATTTGTTCTCTGTCGTCTTCTTTCCATCCGCTGCCTCTTCTTCCACATTCTGCTTCTCTTTTTTCTGCTGTAATTTCGTTTTCGCTTTGGTCTTTGTGATTTTCACCTTTTGTCTACTGCCACTATCCAGTGTTTGACTTGTATCACTCTTTATTTGGTCTAAAACAGATAATAAAGAAGTTGCATGTTTTTCAATATTTCTTTGAAAAAAATAAATTAATGATAGATTTTACATGTGATTTTACAATTAAGTATCGTTTTTGTAAAATGTAAATTCAAACGTCAGTGACATGATTATATCGATTTAGTACCACCGTATGGTGAAATGATAAAACACTCATGTTTATGTTTTTTTTATGGGATAGAGTGACAAACAAGCACACAGTCCACCCTATGGTAAGTGGCTGCTGTTGCCGATAGACATCTACATCTATCCTCGTTTTCGAATCAAAATGCAGATGCTTTATCACCCGTGAGGACTAAGATGGAATACCTCTTTTCCAGTAAAAAGGGCTGTTAAGCTGCTATTTTACGCTGGTATTCTGTGAGAGCGTGGTCCTTCCCCGGTCGTATTCGTGCTACAACTATACTACTAATATAGCTGCAACATGGCTCTACCACGTTTAAAACGTTTTTTTTCAAAATTAAAAAAATTGTCTTTGTATACATAAAGTACATAATAAAGGTTATATATGTTTCGTTACACCTTCGATTTTTGCACCTTTTGAATGATAAATTAAGTTTCATTCGCCTCCATTTATAATAGAAACTGTAAAAGGTAACACAATTTTCAATGTTATCATATTAATATACGCCACGATACGCACTTCGTTGCGCTACGCACTATGCTACACTACACACTTCGTTGCACTACGCTACTCAACGCACTACGTTGTGCTACGCACTAAGTTGCGCTACGAACTACGCTACTCTATGCACTACGCTACTTTACGCACGTAAAACGAGCCCTAAGACAAGCTCTGAATACTAAGATGAAATTGAAACACTTTCTACTGGAAACAAGGCATTCCATCTTATCCCTCAGGGGTAGGAGCGCATCTACATTTTGCATTATTAATCGAGGATACATGTAGATGTCTATGGATCACAGCATCCACTTACCCACAGGTAGATTGTGTGCTCGCTTGTCACAGTCATTCTATTTATCTAATTTAGATATATTGCCCGTTCGTATTGTACAAGGTTTTCTTTCCAATCGTTAAATTTCTCTATGATAAATTGGCACCAATCAACCCAAAAGTTTTTCTGCTCATTAGTAAGCTTTTGCATTTTCTATTTCAATCAAGAATAGATTTAGATGTTTATGGACCACAGCATACACATCTAAATCTATTTATGACTGAGATTATCTGATACCATCACGTGAACAGAGTGCTTGTGTGTCACACATTCTTTAAAACAATTGTGCTTCAATCTCACTTGAAGGATTGAAATTGCAGAAACAGTTGTAAGCAGCTTTGTCGTCGATTTTGTCTGACATCATTCAAGGGCACCATCTAGGAGGGAAGGTGAGGTCCATAAAGCCTTTCCCATATATTATTGTAACTTGTAAATGACATGGCATTAAAAATACCTAGAGGTTATTGCCAATTCTACTCTGAGAAGCTTTTAATTAACCTTATAAATTAAAAAGTTACATTGTTGTCTTGGACTATGAGATTATTTATAACTAGCGCACTGCCCCGGCTTTGAATGAATAGAATCTATAATGTGGCGTTATTAAGGTTTCACTAATTTTATCAATTTTATGTTTATTGTTTTTCGTTTTTGTTTTTTTAATTTTTCAATTTTCCGGATAAAATATAGCCGAGTTCCTCCTGGCGTTGTTCTCAATCTGTCCGTAAATTTTTTATTACATTCGTCTTTAAAGGACTTCAAAAAAAAGGAGGAGGTACTCAAGTCGACTGTATTTTTTTTTTTTGTGTTACCTCAGAATTTTTTTCTAGGTGTTTACCTATGATGATTCTTTTTTATTTGTAAGCTGGTGCTTCTCATGTGATCCAATATAAATTTGATCAACATCCGACCAGTAGTTTTTAAGTTATCCTTAATAATGCGTACTTAATTGACTACGACCTGTGATCTTATCATTAATTTTATTTATATTGAAGTCGATTGCACAATTATTTTTTTAATTTTACCACTTGTAGCCATTCCGTAGATTAGCCCGAACACAAAAACAAACAGACAAAATATTTGAAAATTGTTATTTATATCATAATAGTTCAGTTCATTTGGGTTGAGCGCTGGTTTGATACAGGCACTAAGGTCTCTTTATATGGACTCTAGTGCTTATGTCAGGATCAACGGGGTCTACTCGGACTGGTTTGGCATTCAAAAAGGTGTCAGACAGGGCTGTGTAGCTTCCCCGTGGCTGTTTAACCTATTTATGAACAGTTGTTTGCAAACTTTGAAAGTGCCTTTTGTACGCCGATGATCAAGTCATTTTTCATCGTCGGCGGCCGAGTTGCAAATAATGGTTACTTTCATGAACTGATCATTAAAAAAAGAGGTATAAAAGTGAACGCAAGTAAGACGAAGGTGATGGTTTTTGAAAGAGAAGAAAGTAAAACATTATGTGAAATAAGAAAGAAGGGGAGTTGATTGAACAAGTGGATGACTTTGTATATTTGGGATGTTTATTTAGCAGGGATGGTAGATATGATAAGGATATAGAACGACGAGTGAACGCAGGAAATAGAGTGAATGGGGCTTTACACTCTATTATGAGGAGTCAGAATGTGTCAAATAAGGCACGTATGGCAATTCACAATGCTGTGTTAGTCCCTACTTTAATGTATGGTAGTGAAAGTTGGGTCTGGCAGAAGAAGCATGAGAGTAGAATAAATGCTTTGGAAATGCGGTCATTAAGGTGTATGCTAGGGCTGAATCTGAATGACAGGGTGAGAAATAGTGTGATAAGAGAAAAGTGTGGTTTGCAAGATGACAATGTGACCAGGATTAAGAAAGGAATGCTTCGGTGGTTTGGTCATGTAGAAAGAATGAACGAGGAAAGAGTGACCAAGCAAATTTATGTTGCAAAATTGAACGGCAGAGTCGGGAAGGGACGCCCTAGACGAAGGTTTATAGACCAAATCGGCGATACATTGAAAATAGGAAAGATTAGGAGTACCCTTAACCGACGAGCGTGTATGCGCAGGTATATGGATGTAACGGAGGCGAGAGAGGTGTGTCAGGATCGCGCCAAATGGAAGTCCGTAGTCTCTGCTTACCCCTCTAGGTGACAGGCGTGAGTGTTTATGTATTATGTATGTATCTTAATAATGTGTAAATAATCTCCTGAGCTTATTAGAAGTCAGTTATTTTAATATTACAGACATACACTTTTATTTATATGTATAGATATATATTACCTTCACTGTCGAAGTTGTCGAAATTATCGAAACCATCATCATCATCGTCATCATCAAAACTGTCCTCCATGGAAACTGAAAACAGACAATACACAGGCTATATTTTTATATATATTGGTGCTTCTATTAGTAATTGTGCAACTTCTAATCAACCTGAGTCTGACTGATTGAAGTTATTAATTTAAAGTATTAACACATTGCGACAATGGATATTTACGTGGTCGAGCTATGCTGCAGCTATATTATGATAGCTCACGCTTTTTTTTTAAATAGCATAGGGGTGACAAACGAACACACAGTCAACCTGATGGTAAGTGGTTGCTGTAGCCGATAGATATCTACATCTATCCCCGATTACGAATCAAAATACAGATGCGTTGTCACCCGTGAGGACTAAGATGTAATGCCTCATTTCCAGTAAAAAGGGTCATCGGTTCTCTACTCATTATACAACATAGTTAAGCTGCTATTTTACGCCGGTATACTGTGAGAGCATGGTCCTTCCCCAGTCGAACCAACCCATTCGTGCTACAACTATACCACTAATTCAGTGTTAGTAACGCAATATTTTAGTACTTGGAGATGTCACAAGTCTGCACGAACGCGGATGTTTGCAAGTGTAATCGTAATACAAGTGTCAATCATGAATGATTTGTTAATTTGACCCGAGCCACATCAAAGTATTGAAGATTGCAATTGCATTTTTTGAACATTTTGGATCGAACGATTGACAGGACCTATGACCAAAGATACAATAGTAATGTCGGAAGACCGACATTATCGAACCGGTCTCACATATCACAGAGTACTGATACTCGAAATGATCCATTTGAATAATTGACCCGAATGACCCGGTTCGTCAGAAGACGAATCAAAACTTATCGTGTCCCTAGAAATGAATGAATGATTGAAAACAAAATTATTTAACTTAATTTTTACATGCCATATATAGCAAAACATGTCAGTTCAACATTATTGACCATCATACGTACAGTCCTTACGGATAAAGAATGGGATTAGAAATGGCGGCTCGCCGAGCCCATACCGTCAGCATGCACAGTACTGTTGCGCGCCACTATTAATGTCTTGTACATGGCAACACTAGTTACACTAGCGCCCTCTAGTGTCGAGTAGCAGAACTAGGAGAGTCAAGATCCTTCCAGAAATTTTGGGACCGATATGAATTCGAACATTCTAGATGTCGCTACAGTAGAAGGTTCTGGAAACTAGCTGAGGCCCTATATAAGGCCGTATAGACCACGACGAAGGCAGTACTGACTTGGCGATACAAGAGAATACTTCGAAGCGAAATAACTGCGAACTAAAGTGATTGTGTTTTATTATTAGTGTGGTTTTAGATTGTAATTAGTGTTGTGTAATTAAAGTGTCAATTTTGGTAATTCAATCGGCAGTTTTCAATTGTCTCGAACCCCAAGCTCGTAACAGTACTAATAGTGAAAACCCGCAACCCGGTATATGGTTGTAATGTTATATTATTCGCTTAATTAGAAATTTTCTATTAATGGAAAAATATTTGAAAGTATTTGAATTCGCTAGTAGGTACATTAATTTTAAAATATTATTAATAACTAGCGACCCGCTCTGGCTTCGCCTGGGTGGGATCTAATTAACAACTTAAGATAATCATTAAAGATCGTTTATTTTATCCCATCAATATTTCTATTTTAATAAAATCTCTGAATTTTTCGGATAAAATTTAGGATAGATCACCCCTATTATTGTTTGGGATATTTATACAGTATTCTCATCTGGCTGGGCTTAATAAATATATTAAAGTAAATAATAAATAAACGACAGAGGTAAACTTTAAAAATGGTTACTCATATACCAATGACACGTAAATATTATATACAAACATATTAACGAACAAAATCAACACTAATTATGAAGAAATTCTCAGTAGGCGTCGTCGACTCGCTCACAAATTAGCAAAACCAGACTTATTTTTTTTTAGGTTATGACATTTTGTTATCATTGATTCCAATGACAAATTAGAATGAAATTATAGAACGTGCGAAAAATGCATATCGCAACGTATTTTGCGGTCTTTACCGGCGGGTGTGAGTATAGACAGCGGCAGTGTGCGAGCGAGAGATGAGGCGACGTCATTTTCAATCCCATTCTTTAACCACACACAAGCAAATAAATGTTCTATCTAAATATCAAAAAAAGAAAATTCTTTCATTTAAACATATTAAATTATAATTTAAAAATTTTGTAGAAAATTATTCATCTACTAAACTAAGCTAAAAGAAAATAAAATGTCTGTGGCTAAACTACTGAACACTTGTTTATAGTATTTGACGACATCCTATAGTTTCTAGTTCTTGTTAAAGTTAAAAGTTACAGCCAATATATGTCGCACTTCTGGGCACTGGTATCCCCTCATTTCTGAGAGGGTTTTAGGGCAAGGAAACGTCCGCCGCGCTGCTCCAATGCGCGTTGGCGAACTTCACATGTTTTCGAAATATTTTTTTTAATTCTCAAACACGCCGATTCCCTCACGATGTTTTCCTTCACATAAAAATAGGCATAGGTAAATCAGCACTTAAAATTGTAATCAACAATTTCATTGTTACCGGCGGGGATCGAACACGGGTTGCTCGCGTACTGTGAAATTTACAGCGAGCACTAACCATCTGAGATACCACGGCTCCCAGTTCTTGGAATATTATTTATTCTGTGATTCTAGCTGTGCCCATGACTTCAATCGTATAGAATAATTTTTAGTAATTTTTTTACGACAAACTCAATTCAGTTATTAATACATAGTTACGGTCCCCGTCTTCCACCACATAAAATATATAGAGAACTGTTCAGCAAGGAGCAAGGAGCAAGGTGATGAAAGTACAGATATATTTGTTTGTAAATCAAGGGCCCTGCTAGCACAATCACCACCAGGAACATTAGCAGATACTAGTAATTTGTTATTTTACTTCCCTATTTAAATTGGATTTTATTTATAATTTTTGTCTGTCTGTTTCTTTCGGCTAATCTCCGAAACAGCTGGATCGATTTTGAAGGGACTTTCACTGGCAGATAGCTGATGTTATAAGGTGTAACTTGGTTACTTTTATTTTAAAAATAGATTTAGGATTACGCGCAAAAAAATTAAACCCCATGAAATACAATCGTAATAAATTCCTACTTTCATATGTATTTAGTAAAAAGCCGTTATTTTGACTCTACACACAGACATTTAAATTTTATTAATTTGAATAGATTTACCTGGCAACACCTGTATAATATTATATATCCCTCCCCACACAGCTGATGACTGCTATAGTATCGAATCCACATACAAACAGCCAATAAATGAAGAGTGAAAGAGACCTACCTTTTTTGTCAGCTGATTTGTTCTTCGTCTTCTTCTTTCCATCCGCTGCCTCCTCTTCCACATTCTGCTTCCCTTTTTTCTGCTGTAATTTAGTTTTTACTTTGGTCTTTGATGTGTTTTTCAGCTTTTGTCTACTGCCGCTACCCAGTGTTGGACTTGTATCACCCTTTGTGTGGTCTGAAACAAATAATTATATAATGCTGATTTATAATTCAATTAAAATTACATTAATTTTGTTTAGATACTTTGCTGAAGCATCATGCGTGACAAGTAGATTAAGTATCAGCTTTTACGCACTTCCTTGCTTTTTCGACTCCAGGCATATCGCATAGACACCTCTATAGTCAGAGGCTAGCATTTTTCAAAGTGACGACCTTACGTGACCGACGTCTCATTGCAGACTTAATGTTTCTACACAAGTTACTGCATAACAAAATCAAAAGTACGCATCTCCTCGATCGCATCAAATTAATTATCCCGTACAGATATCCCCGATATCTAATTCGCAAAGTATTTAGCATACCTAGCCACAAAACAAATTTAGGCGCGCATTATTCCCTAGCCAGAATATGTAACACATACAATGAAATTATGATCAAGGTACCGGACATTGACATTTTCAACGACTCTGTTCAATGCTTTAAAAAATTGATCAATTTCTTTTCACCCTCTCAGCACACACTCATTCCTTAGTCAGTTTTTTCTTAATGTAAGTCATTTTGTATTAAGTACCATTATAATATAATAAGCTACACATTACGGTAAATGTTGTGTACACCTGTAATGGGCAAACATATTTAACCATATACTTTTGTTATAGTGTTGTTAATGTTTCATGTTTTGCTGTTGGTGTACCTTATAAATAAATAAATAAGTATCGCAGTAGCTAACATCTCGCACCTTTGAGAAAGCTCTCCGTCGCTGGTCTGGGCATTTCACGCCCGGCGTAAACGAGATATTTACAGCATATTTTACAAAAAAATCATATGCTCTTTCTAGCTTTTTCTTATGTTCTACCTCTCTCTACACCACTCAAGGGACGAAAGGAGAATGTCGTAAGAATCCACTGTTGGGCATGACTGATCCAAATTAACCGATTCGTTGCGGCACCAATTTTCGACAACTTTTAGCTGTGGCAACAATTTTTATTCTGAGGTTTGTATTTTTATATAAACCTAATAATTATACAAGATAATGCCACAGAAGTTGATGAAACGCCTATTGTGCCATCAGCCATGTGTAAAAATAATTATCCTTTTTTAGCTTTTTTCACTTGTTTAGACCTAATTAAATTTAGTTGACATCAAACATCAGTTACAAACGGAAGGATACTTGTTTTTAGTGGGTAACTACGTGTTTTTCTACGTGTTTTCTTTGAAATTGAGAGTAAGTGACTTTTTTATGCGGAGATTACAAACATTTTGTACTGTTTTTTGTTTTATAAAAAAATAATTTATATAAGTAGGTACAGCTGAATCACCCTAGAAAACCTTGGTTTTTATTAAATTAAATATTCACCTAATAATAATATTTGTAAATATCAAACAATCAAGAACATTAATTTGGAAAAAAATAAGGTTTATGATTCATTAATATTTACAACTGTTAAATATTATTTAATGTTATACAAATTTAAAAGTAAAGTCGATCTGAAAACGTCTAATTAGTAAGAATAGCAAAACAAGAATGGCGTATCCCTATATCATAGAAGGCAGCACACATTTTGAGGTAGTGGATATTGCGTCTTCCTAATAACGAAAGTAAAAACAACCCGCCCGCATCGCGTGGCAACTAGATGAATGCGTTGGTCCATTGACACGTTGATTTTGATTAAGCAAAATGTAAAATAGGATGCCTCATAGAGAGTAAATAATCCCTCTCTGGTTTAATTTTTTTTATAGAATTAGAGTGACAAACGAGCACATAGTCCACCTGATGATAAGTGGTTGCTGTGGTCCATATACATCTACATCTATCTTCGTTTGCGAATTGAAATGCAGATGCGTTGTCAGTCGTGAGGACTAAGATAGAATACCTCTTTTCCAGTAAAATAGGTCTCCGGTTCTCTACACTCACCATACGAAACACAGCAGCGTTAAGCTACTATTTTAAGCTGGTATGTGGTTTTTCCCCGGTCGAGCCGACCCATTCGTGTTACAACTATACTGCTAATATAGCTGCAACAAATAAATCATGAGACGCCTATTGTGCCATCCGCCATGTGTAAAAGTAATGTTCTTTTTTATGCTTTTTTAGTTGTTTAGACCTAACTAAGTTTATTTGACATCAAACATAAGTTACAAATGGAAGGATACTTGTTTTTAGTGGGTAACTACGAGTTTTTTTACGCGTTTTCTTTGAAATTGAGAGTAAGTAACTTTTTTTATGAAGAGATTACAAACCTTTTGTACTATTTTTTGTTGTTATAAAAAAATCATTTATATAAGTAAATACAGCTAAATCACCCTGGAAACCTTGGTTTTTATTAAATTAAATTTTCACCTAATAATAACATTTGTAAATATCAAACAATGAAGAACCTTAATTTGAAAAAAAAAAGGTATATCATTCATTGATATTTACAAATGTTAAATATTATTTAATGTTATGCAAATGTAAAAGTAAAATCGATCTGAAAACGTCTAATTAGTAAGAATAGCAAAACAAGTGTTTTCAAAAGGAAAAAAACGCCGGCGCTATACGGCGGCGGATTGACAAAAGACTATTTATTAGCGAACTTTTTTATGCGTGAACGGTTTCAAACTGTTTCAAGCAAAAATAAACCTTATACCATATCACAAGAGCACATGGTACTTCGTAGGTCTATTCGGCTATATGATAGTAATAAAACGGCAGTTCAACCATTTTAAGCAAAATTAAACAATAAGACAAACGCATTGTTTTTTTTTTTTAATAGGCGACTTGTTTTACAGAAATTTATTTAGAACTTGAGTTTGTGAGTGATCGCAATGAGTGCTATTATTTGTTACTTTTTAGACAATTTTTCCATAACATGATTTAAAACCAACAAAGTAAAAATAGTTCCATGTACACGTTAAAAAAAGATTGTCAACACCTAAAAATTTCTAATTTTCAAAATATCCAGAAACGAAGCTGCAGGCATGAACTACTTGCAAAATAATGACTATTTTGTTCTGGATAAATTTTCCAAAAAAGCAATTTGGGCGAGTTATAACGATTTTTAAAAAGACACGACTCGTGTGTCACACGCCACACTGGCGTGCCATCCGCACTGAAACGTTGTGTGTGTATGTTATGGAATCACAACACATACAATTTTTATTCTGAGGTTTTTTTTTATATAAACCTCAAAATTATACAAGATAACGTTACCTTTACTGTTGCGGTCGTCGAAAATAATGAAATCATCATTATCATCATCATCGTCGTCATCGAAACTGTCCACCCTGAAATCTGAAAAGAAACAATACACATGATGTAGTTTTATATAATATATATAATCATCAGTGTGCTTGTTACGAATCATGCAACTTCTGATTGAGCTGACTGATTGAGGTGATGTACGCACACATCGAGACAATAGTTCGTAGCTATGTTAGGATACGACAGAGGGCGCTGTAGTCAAGTTATTAAGAAATAATAATATATTTATGAACCAAAGTTGCTCATAGTTTTAATATGTTACATTGATTTATGGCCAAATACTCAAATGCTGCTCAATTTTAAGATGTCGTTAAGTCTAGTGTCGTCACAGTCACTTTGACTTAAAGTGATAGAGACAGCACGCGACTTAACGGCATCTTAAAACTGAATAGCGTTTGAGTATTTAACCAATAGTGCCGAAAAAGAGAATCACTAAATCTGGACGCTGGATGTGGTCAAGGTGGTTAATTAATCAATTTTATATTTACACTCTAGAATGTCCGACGTGAATTCAGAGTGAAAGTCACAGCACCACGTACCGGCAGAACAACGTCTACAAGCCAGCTAGTTTAGTTAAATAAAATCTGAGGGGACTTGATCTTGAATGGAGACGCAAGTTTCTATAAAGACTACCGCTGCAAACATTCAGCAATTGATGACTTTTGATGTTGCCAACATCAAAAGATGTTGCCAATAATGGAAACATCAAAAGACTGCCAAACTTCTTGGAGAATATTTCATGACTTGAATAGTTGTAATATTCCTGCCCACACTCAAAACACAAGCTTAGATGTGGAGTTACAAAAAATAACATATCATAAACAAAATACATAGTATGAAATGTAGACAAATATTACCTGACAATGATTCGGGCATTTCAATTTTGATATCAAATTTGTTGGAGTTTTCATTTGCAACTGAAATAAAAGTAATATATATATATGTAAATTTCTACAAAAAAATAAACAAATATCTTAAAATATAAGGGTGCCAAACAAATATAAATAAAACAATTCATGGCTAAAAGCCAGTACGAGGGCGGCACTGAAAATTTCAGGAATCAAGGAAGTGACACAACATTACTATTTAAAAATATATTTATTGCTTTTCGAAGTATTCTCCGCGAAATTTGACACATTTTTCCATACGATGGAACCAATCATTGAAGCAACCATTTCATTCGGAAGTTGGAGTCTCCAAAATGGCCGTTTTGTAGGCGTCCACAGCTTCTTCAGGTTATGAAAATCTCTGTCCACGCAATTTATTCTTTATTTTAGGAAAAGTATAGAAATCGTTAGGGCTTAGGTCGGGCTGTACGGCGGATGGTCTAATAACTTCTATGTTTTCTTGCTCTAAAAACTCTTTTGTTCTGTGTGCGGTGTGAGAACTCGCATTTTCGTGATGGAGGATAATGCGGCGGTTGCAGTTCTCTTTACGGAGTTCAGAAACGACCTGTGGCAAACAAATGCTAGCATACCATTCTGCATTAACCGTTCTTTGTCCCTCAAGAGGAATAGTCGTAACATGGCCGGTTTTGGAGACAAACGTGGCCACCATTTTTTTTTGCAACACTCCGTGAACGAACAATTTTGTTGGCTTTAACTCATTTTCGAACACCCAAACTCGTGACTGGTTTTTTGTTTCGGGTTCGTACGCGTATATCCAGGATTCGTCACCTGATACGATGTTGTATACAGCATTTGAGGATCCTGCGTGGAATCTTTCGAGAGTTCTGATGCACCAAGTAACGCGAGCCGCTTTTTGCTCTTCACAGAGCGAATGCGGTATCCATCGGGAAAACAACTTTTTTACACCTAATTGTTCATGCAAGATTATTTGTATTTGACTCATGCCAATGTCTAAAGTTGCCTGAATTTCGTAGTATGTCACATGTCGATCTTCCTCAATCAGCTTACGCACAGCATCAGTTTTCTTGGGTGACTGCAGTTTTTGGACGACCTTGACGGGGATCATCACTGAGCTTGACACGTTCACGTTGAAATTCAGCAAACCAGCGATAAATTGTGGTTTTGGATGGGGCTTCATCACCAAATGCAGAAATCATCCGGTCAACACACTGTTTTTGTGTTAAACCACTTCGAAAGTCATAATAAATCATCGCTCTTGAATTTTCTCGAGTCAATTCCATTTTCTCAATGACTAAACAAGTTTGACAAAACCTTGGGGCAAGACCGAGAATCTTTTTTTAAATAAATAAATGGTATTCGATTTTTAAAACCAAGGACTTTGCAATTAAAAAGATTTTAATATGACAGGAACAGTGGAAATATTCCATTCCCGACACTTTTAGTGCAGCCTCTGTATTATATAATATATTAAGAAAAATGTATTGTAGTTTAGTGAATGGAAGAGTCAAGAAAGGATGCCCTAGACAAAAGTTTATCGATCAAATTGGCGGTATATTGAAGTATTGAGTAAGATGATTTGATGCAGTCAGATAATTGGTAAAATAAAAATATTGATTTATTTTATTATAATCATTAAAACAGTCACAGGTACATCATCAACTTCCATATTATAAAAATAACTAGCTATTCCCCAGGACTTCACCCGCGTGTAATTTAAGATTTTCAGTTTTTGCACAGAACCCATAAACTTTCTTTTTCTAAAATATAAGTAGGCTGACGTCGTCGTCAAAAAAAACTTCGCTGAGTACCGGAACAAACTTGTGTCTGAAGTAGAGTCTTTGCTGAACTAAGTCTCGGATTGGGGGCGACTAAATTTAGTCCAGTTTAATCCTCAGAAGACACAAGTTTGCGCGTTTACCGCTAAAAAGAACCCCTTTGTCGTATCTTCTCAGTTTCAAGGCACTCCCGCCAAATTGGCCTCTAAAAACCTTGGCGTGCTCAGGAGAGCGGGACAGTATTTCATGCCGGCACACCGCCTGCAACTTTACAAGGCGCAGGTTCGGCCTCACATGGAATACTGTTCCCATCTCTGGGCAGGGGCTCCCCAGTGTCAGCTCCTTCCACTTGACCGCATCCATCGCAGAGCGGCTCGCATCGTTGATTGATTTTTTTTGTTATAGGTAAAGTAAAGTAAGTTTTGTAAAGTTAAAAGCTGTTATTTTGACACTACAAACAAGACACTTCAATTTTATTTATTTGTATAGACGTCGGCTTTTCCGCCAACATCAAACGTGATGACTGACTGTATGTTCTCCTTAGTCTACTACTACTGTGTTAAGATTCTGCTATTTCAATCTGCCTGCCAACATTGAAGTGTTAATGTGGATTTAATACTTCAATGTTGTAACTTTTTATTCAAGTGTCAATCTCGTCCAAGCAAGTGACGTTAATATCACGTTACGCACGTACGTACGATATTTTTACGTTAATATTCCTGCCCACACAAAAAATAAAAGCTTGGATGTGGAGTTGCAAAGAATAGCATGTCATAAACTAAAAGTTAAAAACTAATTAGTATGAAATATAGACAAATATTACCTGACAATGATTCGGGCAGTTCAATTTTGATATCAAACTTGTTGAAGTTTTCATTTGCAACTGAAATAAAAGTAATATATATGTATGTAAATTTCTAAAAGAACATAAATATATATCTTATAATATAAGGGTGCCAAACAAATATAAATAAAACAAAGTCATAGCTTAAAGCTAGTATTATAATATATTAAGAAAAATGTAATGTAGTATAGTGAATGTAAGAATCAAGAAAGGATGCCCTATACGATAGTTTATCGACGAAATTGGTGGTATATTGACAATGGACCAGATTAAGAGTACCCTTACCAACGAGAATGTTTATGTATCAAGATGTGTCAGGGTTGTGCCAAATGGAATTCCTCTTGGCACAACCCTGACATAATATTCATATTTTTAGTAAGAGACCCATGGTAGCTGTTACAGCAACCACTCCCCATCAGGTGGACTGTGCTCGTTTGTCACCCTATCCTATAAAAAAAAACTATGCAATGGATTTTGATGTGGTTTTCATCAATAGACAGAATGATTCAAGACAAAGGTTTATATGTATAATGCATACATATTATATAATTCTTCTGTTCGTTTGCACTCCACCTAAATAGCTGGACTGATTTTGATGAAATTGAGTGTTTTTATCAAGTTGATTAGAGAATGTTTAAATTCACGATTGGACCCAGTAGGTGGCATGGATGTCGAGATCCAGAAATCAACCATGCGAAGCCAGGCTGGATCACTAATTATATATAAAAAAAGGATAAAAAAAGTACAGTTGAAATACCTTTAATAGCATTCCTACTACAGAAGTCTTTAAACTTTTCCTCACATTTTCTAACCTGCTTCTTAAATTCAAATGCTTCTCTTAGCTTTAGTATACATGTTTCACATATTGTATATGTTACTTCAGAGAGGACACCGAGCACTGGTTCTATCTGGAAAGAAATGATTTATTTACAATTAAAAACAGTTTTATTGCTTACTATTTTTATAGAAATTACAAATTAGAAATATTTATTTTTTATAGTGTAAAAAAAATTAGAAATATTGTTATGTTACAGTTCAGCCACCGATAGCAGATATATGTGTGTTGTCTTATCATTTATTATCACAATTTGAAACTAAACAGACTGGCAAAATTTAAAAATGCAGCACAAAAAAAGGTAACTGTGAAGAGCACTGGTCTTTTTTTTGTAATAGTTTGGTAAAATATGACAATGACATATTGAATGAAATAGGTAATATGAAAACTAATAAGCTTTCAAATTAGAGTCCATAATAATACAAGAGTTTACACTTCCTCCTCGAATTTTGGTAAATATATCTGTTAAATTACTCTGTCGTTACTTCACCACTGATTTATTGAAATTGCTTTATGAGCGTCTACGAAGAATAAGTCAAAAATCAGCTAACAGAATTATATAAATAATTTAGCTACTGTTTGGTATGAGCTAGACAACAATTCAAGTTCAATTTAATTGTAATGGTCCACAACAAAAGATGTATCGTACTTACACTGATGTCCAAACTGTCTTTCAACATATCGGAATAGATCTCTTTTTCGCTACTTCGACCGCGAGGTTCAGCCAAATTATTAAAAATCCCTTGCGCGTGACAACAACGGCACAGATCTCGTTCCAATATCCAGACTTCAGACGACATTATTTACATACAATATTATGTAACATTTATAACGAATAACAATGGTTATATCGAAACTAACACCGACTTAAAGACGACTTAAAGATAAAAATAACAACATATAACTTCACTATAACTCCCAAAGCTCCCAAACTATGAAATATGAATTGATTTGATTTGACTATTTGACGGCCATATTGTTTTGTTGCATACCATAGATTAGAATTAAATTCAGAGATAGCTTGCTTCATATTTACTTATCTATGGATTTCATAGAGTTGTAGTTGTCTCCATCTACTACGTTGTTGCGTAGATAGAGTATTGACTAGATAAAGCATTCGCGTATGCTTTTGAGATAGAAATAGGCGTGAGGTACTTTCACTGGGTTACCAGATATTGTTCCATTTCCCCCGTTATGGGTTTATTTATATTCACAGCACTTACATTCTTACAAAAAACTTAATTGTTACCATAAAAAATGTTCTTTTATAATTCAGATGATTAATTAATTTCTCTTGAAAATACATTCTGTTACAAAAACTACGGGCGGAAACGGCGTAAAAACAGAATCATCATTCTGTATTCAACGGCGCATCGACGATTTTACTGGACATTCAATAAACTCCTTGGATTTTGACGGCACTAAGTGAAAGCGCTAATAGCACAAAGTGTGATATCGCTAATAAATAACAATATGTTATGTATGTACTTAAATATTAATTGAGAATAAAAATATTAAATAAATTAATATTTTTATTCTCAATTAATATTAATATAATTATTAATAAACTACTACTAAAATTTCCTTGTGTCGAGTTTTGTTGTTTTTACAAAAAAAAAATCTATAATATTTTAACATACCATTCCATCACAAGTTCAGTGCTGAACACAGACCTTCGAAAGGAAAGGGTTTCCACTTAAGTTTTGTAGTATAAAACACGGTTATGAGCCTATTCCCGCGATTTGCTGCATGTTTTGTTAAGTTAGTGTCTTGTGTGCGGCAAGTTGTGGCGTACAAGAGAATTTGTCTGTACACGGGATGATATTACCCCGCGTCGTAAGCAATAATAGAAGATGGGGATGGGGCAACAGCACTTTCCCGATGAAAACTTAAAATAATAAAAAACTGCGGTGGCAAACCAGCATAACGCATATTTTCACGCAGCCGTGGCAACTATGGCAAATCATCCTATGAGGATATCTATGGAAGGCCTTTTTTAGGTGACTTACTTATGGTTAGGTGGCTTAATCATGTTACCTAATGGTTAAGATGGTAAAATGTTTTAGTTAATATACGTTGTAAAGCATCAACAAAGGATTTTTTTTGTAATATGTTGGTATATAAAATAAAAACGAATGTTTTATAATATTCTATTTTAATTTACCATGCAGTGTAAGATTATCTGCTACCTCATATCATTCCATGGGTGGTGTATGAGGCGACGTAGGGAAACATCAAAGAAGATAAACAGCAGCATTGTCCTGATAACAACTAAATAATGGTTGACTACCCGCTTTCCAAGCGTTGAAACTATGCCAAATAACTATAATCATGTTTATGTTCAACAGTGGACTTTTGATAGACTGTAGAGATATACGAGTATATTCTATTTAAATGAAAATATATTGAAATTTAAAAAGGAAAAAGAACTAAATTTTGTGTACTTACACAACATTTAGAAATATTAACAATGTTACATTAAGTAAAAGAAATGAAAACACAATTATATATTAAATATAATTCAATAAATCAAAATAAACAAACGATTACTTATTAATTTTTGATCACATTAATAAACAACAAATTTAACAAAATTTTTGTCTTCTTTCCTTGTAATTCTTCGTTGTAATTCTTGGTTTGAGTAGCTTTAGAATTTCTCAAAAATGTGCATTTGTAAACTTGATTTATACTTTTGCATGGCAAAAATTCTTGGGTGCTGGTCGTGGTATATATATATATATATATTATTTGCCTTGTATATAATATATTTTAATGGTATAAATAATAAGGTACAACTCCTAAACTATACTTAGAAAAGTAATACTTATCTCTTGTCAAAAACATCTTTATTACATTATTTTGATGACAATTAAATAGAAATTATCATAATTATTACATTTATTTCTTAATTTATTTACACATTAATGTTTATAACACCTTTATAAAAGGGATTAAGGGTGGACTAAATGTCCCATTGGTAGGCATTCCCAGTCAGTTTTACAATTATTATTGCATAATAAATTATTCATTTTTATATTTAGGCCAGGACTTTAAATTACTTATTTCTTTATTTTATTTAAATCTTTATTTGCATAAAACATGGTAGTACAGATAAAGTTCCAACATTTTAATCAATACATCTATAAGTAAATATTTTGTCATTGTCATGCCACCCAATTATTACAAGTCATAATAATACAGAATGTCAGCATTTGAAAATAAAATAAGCAATGCTAGTCAATTTTTAATACATACAGAACAATGTCAAAAATCATAACTACTAATAAGGTCAAACTTATATCACTTATGGAGAAACAACAAGATACAACAAGAAATTATAATATTTAAAAAAATTATCTTAATTATATTATAAATTACATAAGTTAATCATATTTAATCCACCTAAAACAATGAGGCTTAAAATGTTTTGAGCATACACTGGTAAGTTTTGTTGGTTACCTATAAGCACTACCAGTAGCGATTATCCAACTGTTAGGGATAGCTGATTCCTTAGGAAAGCTGTGAAATAATATATTTAAAAGAAATTAATATATTAAATATATAGTACACTTTTATATCAAAGTATTTTTAAAAAAATCAAGTATGTGTATCTGTGCATAAATACAATACCTATAACAATTAAAACAATATCAATTGATCTAATTAAATAGCAAGTATATGTAAATGTAATGATAATATTATTCATACCAAACATTTAAAAAAATTATGTACATATTAAGCTTTAGATATTGTTAATTAATACATTTACAGTTTAACATAGTTATGTCCTCCACCGCTGAACATAGACCTCCCACACAGTTTGTCTCCAAATAACTGCAGTTGCCAATTCTCCTGCCAAGCTAGGCAACTATCACAAAACCTATAACTTTTGATACTGACTAATGGTAACGGTAAGTATATTATCATCAAATTTTTTCTACATCATTAATTGAGAATATTATCTTACTAGCTGTTCCCCGCGACTTCGTTCGCGTGTTAGGGTTTTTATGTTTCTGCGCGGAACCCTGATTCTTTTTCTAAAATAAAAGTAACCTAAGTTACTCCTTATGAACTCAGCTATCTGCCAGTGAAAGTCCCGTCAAAATCGGTCCAGCCGTTTCGGAGATTACCCGGAACAAACAGACAGACAGACAGACAAAAATTTTAAAAATTGTATTTTAGTTATAGGTATCGTATTTACTTTCATATGCATTTAGTAAAAAACTGTAATCTTGACATTACAAACAGACACTTCAATTTTATTTATTTGTATAGATGTTGTTGTGTTAGTGTGTACCTTAAGATTAAGACTTATTTATTTATTTATTATTTTATCTATATTTATATTTATTTTTATATTAGCATGACATATTTTTTTAAATAAATATTGTAATGTAATTGTTGCTAATGTATAATAGAATTAATGAAATGCAATAAAGTTTTGTGCATCTGATTTCAGACAATACATATTTTGTGAAATTAAAAATACTTTGCCCAATATTTATGTACTTGAATCCAAACATGTTTTCAGGTTGATACTTACATATTATTTGTGACGTCTATGTAATATGGAAAATAATTGAAGAGTTGTAGGGCAATAAGGAGTTTCCTTTAAAGCTGAACATAAAAGTGTATGTATATGTATAACATTATGTGATTCATATTTACGGACATAACTACTAATCACAATAACAATTATTATTGAACAATGCGAAAACATTATTGTACTTGCTGATATCCCTAAAGTTTCTATAATCCTACCAAATCAAAAAGTACACGTTTGTTATGACTTTAAGCTTTCGAATGACCGTTCAAATTAAGGAGCATTATCATGAAGAATTTACAATTTGGGAGTCCAAATATTTGACAAAATACATCACAAAGTTCATTAAAAACATGAAATGTTACACTTTATATTCAAAACAATAGATATTAATCAGTACAAGTAGCAAATGTAAGCACAAAACAAACTTACCGATGAAAGGTTATATTATCAATTTTTCGTTGACTGATGCTGTTGCATCCTAAAATGCTACAACTTACCATCTTTTTCACCTTACCTAATAACTAAGATCCACAAAAAACACTAAATTCAATTACCTGTTTGCTTGTAATATCAATATTATTCAAAAGAGCTTGACATCGTTAATGTCAAATAAAGGAGGGAAAACAATCAAAAACGCATACCTAGAAAAAGACAACAAATATAGATTTGCTTCTCCCTTACTCTTATGTCTAACTATATACGTGCATTCCTTTCACACGCTGATGACGTCACTGAATGTTTAGTCTATAAGATACTATGTCTATGCGTTGTTGTAATCTTGAACAAATTATTAAACTGGATGTTTATTAACCATTTGATTTTCAGCTTTTCCATTTGTTAATAGTAGCTTGCTACATATATATTTATCTATGGTTAATAGTATGGATTGGTGTACAGGATTATCGAAATGTTTCGAGCAAAGCCTTCACATTTTTCTTCTTCTTATTTTAGACCTATAGCTACAAACGTCTAATTAGTAAGAATAGCAAAACAAGTGTTTTCAAAAGGAAAAAACGGCCGCCGGCGGCGGATTGACAAAAGAATATTTTATTAGCGAACTTTTTTTTATGCATGAACGGTTTCGAACTGTTTTAAGCAAAAATAAACCTTATACCATATCACAAGAGCACATGGTACTTCGTATGCATATTCGATGTGCCGTATGATTGTAATAAGACAGCAGAGTAACCATTTTAAACAAAATTAAACAATAAGACAAACGCATTGTTTTTTTATAACAGGAGACTTGTTTTCCAGAAGTTTATTTACAACTTGAGTTTGTGAGCGATCGCTATGAGTGCTATTATTTGTTACTTAGATTTGTATTTTCCACAACATGATTATAAAGACCGATAAATTAAAAAGAGTACCATTTACAAGTCAAAACAAAAGGTTGTCAATCCCTAAAAATTTTTAAATTTCATAACAACCAGAAAC